ACGGGGAGGGTATAAAATAAGTAAGAGACAAAGATTGATGTTTTGAATAAAGGAATTAGGCAATAAAGCTTGATTAATATACACGGATGGACACTAAATTTTGAGCTGGAGTGACATAAAAGTAAGGAAAAAGGAGTGACTTGATTTTAATGAAATAAATTCCGAGTGTTTCGGACTTCGGTACACTTTTTTTTTTCTCGGCTTGTCACGCGCTGTAAAACATGGTTCGGATTATCGAGGGTAAAATTACAGTAAATATATGAAGGAAATCCAGGGGAAATCGATTTGGGTTCGAGTTGGCGCGAGGGTTCGAATTATCGGGAGTCAACACTGTCACGGTTTTATTCAGTTTTCCAATTATCCAAAAGGTTCATCTGCGTAATTTCAATTAGTCTTCTTTGTCTTGGTTTCACTTAAACGGAAATATAAAGAATTATGTGACCTTAAAACAATCCTTTTAAAGGCACAAAATACTGAATATGTTTTTTTTTTATGTTAGCTTCACGATTTTTTTTCACTTGTCTGTTTTGTCGTCAGAGATTAACAGGGAAAAAATTCACCATTACACAGTACTACTAACGAAATGGGCTTTCCAACGATTTTGCAAACAAAAAAATCTTGTATGCCAATAGTCCCTAATAGGGTCACTAGCATCGCGGTCAATTTCAGATATAACGTGAACTTTGGTTTATCAATTTTCTAGCAATATTTGGAAAGAGAAAACGGATCAGGGCCGAGTGGCTCTTACGAAAGTGGGGGTCACGGTCTTTTCTTTTTTACAATTGTTGAACTGTTCCTTACAAACAAATGATGTTTGTTTTAAAATGCTCCTCGTCGCGTATGGTTAAGTGATTACTGTTTAATTGTCACTCCGCATTAACATGAGCGGATTTAGGGGGTAGGGCGGGCTGAGGGGACCGCAGCAACCCGTTTTTTCTGAGATATTTTTAAAGAATTCTCAGTAGAATAAAAACTATCTGTATAGCTCGCAAGTGTCCCGATCACCCCTTTCTGAATTAATTATCTTAATTACAAACGCATGACTAGACTGAGTATTTTCTGGTTACAAAGGTTCCGAGTTTGTTGTTGAAACTATATGATAGCCGTGACCCACGCCAACGCGAAATATTACATACCGATAAATTAAAATATGCGAAGACTAGCGGGGAGCTCCCAAATGGTTGTCCGTTTCCTTAACTTTGTGATTTTTTTTTTTAATTTTTTAGCCATTGCGAAAGAATTTCATATCTACGTAACCTTAATTTTGCAAAGAACTGAAGTACACTGAATTACGAATCATCCGCGTACGTACTGCGTTTTACATTTCTATGAGGACTCACTCACCCACACGAGCCAGAATGAGAAACGGCCGTTTCATAAGCCTAATAAGCCAATAGCCAAGCAATTAAGCTGAACAGCTGAATTTTAGCCTGCGAAGCAAGCGAGCAAAAACGATCCTCCATATCTATTGCTGACAGCGGCTGTCGTTTCAACTTTCGCGATTGGAAACGCTTGCTACCCAGGCGAATTCAAGCTGAACTAATTTTTGCTCAATTTGCTTATTTGCTTTTAAAATACCCAATACTAAATGTAAACAGTGCTAAGCCACGCCAACGCACAAGAAGTTTGTCTGATGAAGAAGAAACTAAAATTAACCTTGACCTGCTAGATCGCCAAAAGCAATGTAGCATGATTCGATTTTATAATAATCCACTGGAGTTTAGGAAGTTGGAAGACTAAGATCACGTACTCAACGTTAACGTTCTTAAGAATCAGAAATTATAGTCATTATAGTAGTATAATAGAATCACTAATTGGGAAAATTAGAGTCTTAAGCTAAATTATCTAAAATATTAATCACAAAAATCAACAGTTTAACATTAAAGGTACTTATATATAGTATATGTGTAGCATAATAAACGAATACAGAATGATAAGTCATTGAAGTGCTAGAAAGCATTCTGATCTAAAGTTCCTCTACTGTAAATAATGTCTCGGGGGGAAGTCCCTTATATAAGCCATATAGGTATGTGCCGCACCGAAGGATATATATATATTTTAGCCGTTTTGGACGGTCTGAAAATGGGTCTACATTTTGCCCATTTTGGTCTGGAATCGGGTATCGTTTTCGATGGAACTACGGTAGTGTATGAACGTATTTGTTATTTCAGTTTCAAAATGAATACTGAGCTGAGGAAGAGTAATATACAAATTCGAAGTGGATAGGGTCACGATTTGGAGAACAAGGCGGCACACACCACAAGGAGCTCACACAATCTTTGTGTGTAACCATAACCTCAAAATTTCCAATCTATATGCGGCTCAAAGATTTCCCTTTTTTTGTACACAAAAAGTCCACTGGGTATAGACGCCTTTTTGTCTTGAAAACACAGTGTTCTTTGCAATGACTGTAGTTGATAACAATCGCAAAACAACTGTATCGTAGACGATTTGCGGATAAGTATATCATAAACTTTGGAGTCTTTAAGCAACTTAAAGCTAGGGACAATACGCCTAACTTCATTAATTTTCATCCGGAACTCGATGGAGACAACAGCCCCCGTAATTCAGCACTTTGCAACTCTCAGTACTGAATAACAAATTAAAAGACAATGGTGATTAAAGAAAACATTGCGAAACTCGCATAGATAAAAGCGGTTATTAGTCGGGTAAGGTCCTTCCTTTACAAGGACCATTGCAATTTGTACAATTAATATGTCTTACGTCGCTTCAGGCTGTCTGTCTCTTCAGTCTATAAGGAAAAAATTGAAAGAACGTCTCTTAATTCAGCCGAAGTAGTTTCAGTTAGGTTTGTTGGAAAAAATCGAGAGTTGGGATATCAGATAAAATTATAATGCAGTGTTAGTATGTGGTTGGTAGACCGTTACTAAGAGTCTCTTGTAACAGGCGTCCGCCCTCATGGGAAGACTGAGTGAAGGGTGGACTGAATTAAATCAAATTTTGCCGGTCTGTGATAGGCAGTGATGCAATGACCTAAGCACGATAAGATAAATTAGTTTCAATAGTTTCAGGTAAAAATCGTTTATATTTGATGCCCCTAGGGGGGGGGGGAGGGGTAAATGTATCTATGATAATGATAACTACATACAGTTTATTTGGTTAGCAGGTCAATACAGCTGATGTGGACAAATATGATAAATAAACTAAAATATGAGATAATAAATAATTAAGATTTTACAAAGGAAGCATTCCGAGTAATAAACTGTAACGATCAATTAATAACACTGAAAGATCAAGTTCGCGGGTTTTGGTTTTAAATTCCAAATGGGACAAGATCTCGATAGCAAATTTCGGTCTTAGGAAACGTTCGGTTAACTGAATTTGCTAGTGATGAGTGCATTTCAGGGCATTCGTTTGGATTTCTTTCGTTTGTTTTACCTCTTACTCGGCCTATGCTTGAGATCTCTAAGGCAACATTATATTACTTCATATATACTAGATGTGGGTGAGGGAGTAATTAAGTTTGAGTAACTGATATATGAAGGGTTCAGGGTTTCGTTAATCTTTTGTCTAAAGATTGTTACATACTACTAGATAATGATCGCGACGTTTCGACCGTGTACTGCAGTTCATCGCGATCAATATCTATGTGACGGTCGTGAGACAAACAATCAGAACGAAACCCTTTATACACATTATTCACGATGAATAATATATTCATATCATGTCGTTAAAACTGATATTAAGAATATTCTTCATAAATACCATTGAAATGCCAACGGTTTTCTCAATATAACATCATCAAAGCCATGATCGCGAATTCAGTCAGACTATCGATCTGTGACAACTTAACTCAACTCCCCCTTCCCTCCGTTTACACGATAGATGAACATCGGTCCAGAAAAATAATTTCTTACGCCTCACGCTTCGATAGTCATACAAGTGGATAAGCAATACAAGCGGAAAGAGACCTTTGACCACAGATTTTTCTCGACAGTGCACACAACGGGAAGTTTACAAAATAAGCATCCCTGAAACTGGACCGGTCGGGTAATTCTTGCCGGATCAAGCTCATTTTTGCCCCTAATTTCGGATGCCAAGTGGCTAAGGAAGAGTTAAATACCTTCGCGATCATTACATCACTCTAATAAAAGGATACTTCCGCTGATTTTGGAGCTTTAAACTGTTTTACTCTTCAAATGTTTTATTTGTTTAAACAACGTTAATTGCAAAAGAATTTCTTAATATTTTAATCAAGAATTCACAATTTTACAAGCTTAGTAACTTTTTTTACGTTGAATTCTTCAAACATGATACAATTGTACTAAAACATCATGGTTAGACTATAAAAATAAAGATGTTTGTGTCGAACTTTTATGTTATCGAGTTGTCATCCAAAAGAGTTTGAAGTAGAACTGAAGGTCGTGGTTAACAGAAGAATATGGAGTTAAGAGGTTTTTTTGCAGTGAGTATATCAAAAAAGGGCCAATTTATTAAGCCGCATACTACTTCAGTTCTAAGTTGAGAGTGACTTTTGCAATTCTGGGGACCGAGTTTCGTGAAATGAGTTTTACGGACGGGGCCTGCAGGCAGTGCTTTATTCAGAGTTTACAACTTAAAACAAAGCAATTCTAGTTATATGCAGTCGAACCTCCCGAAATGCAAAGGTTTAGAGCTGGTCACTTAGGGTTGATTTCCACTGTCGCGTAATTTTTCCGTGCGAATGCACGTGAAATTTACATGCGTAAATGAGATAGAGGCAATGTATGAAAGGCCGCGCGTTACAAGCGTAAAAGTTGAACCTCCCTCAACTTTCACGCTTACGCGTGAACGTCCATACATTGCCTCTATTTTATTTACGCGCGTAAAATTACACGACAGTGGAAATCAACCTTTACGGGAAAGAAGGTCTTCGCTTTGAAGAATCGAACCACTTTTTGCGGTAGAATTTATTGCTTGCAATTTCTAAGTTACGTATACGTGTAATTTTGTTTTGACACTTCATAAGTTCTTCGTTGAGCGTCGTAGTACTTACAGCGAGCAACAATGCATCAAGTGGTCACCGGCTTACAGGAGGTTAAATATAATGGGAAACAATAAAAACACCTAACCAAAAAGTAGTCAAAGGCGCTTACGAGAGGTTCTAACTGATTGAGAATTGACTGGGACAAAAAGGTTTTCTAGGCAGGTGGTTGCTTCTTATGGGAAGTGGTCGCTCAGTACGAGGTCTTACGAAAGGTAATCGCACATGGAGGTTGAGTTTGAGGGTAAACTATTTTCGAATTTTGTTTGATTTTTGTTTCAACTTATCTTATCTGCTTTCTTTGTTCCTAGACTGTTTTCGCCTTTTTGTTTACTGTGGAAGTATACTCTCGCCTCTCTCGCCCACGGAGTTTTTATTATGTTGGTTTTGGGCGCACTAAAGGTGACCGTTATATGATAATTACGGACAAATGTGAAAATAAAAACTCGCAAAGGGAATGCTCAGCGATGGCGAATGGCGAAACGAGCAGAAATTCAAGCACACGTAAGTTGGCGGGTTTCTTGATGTTGTTCTACTGCTCTCAGCTACTTTCCATCTCAAAATTATTTTATAACGGAAAAAATTTACAAGCAGAAAAATTCATATTTTATTACTAACGGACGATCGTGCCGAAAAGAGACGGATTCAAGAACAGACAAGTTGGCGAGTTTCATGATGTGATTCGACTGCCGTCAGTCACTTTCCATCTCAAAATCATTTTAAGATGGAAAAGATTTCTACAAGCCGAAAATTTAGCCGTATTTTATTACCAAAGACAATCGCGCGACTGCGGGGACCATGTGGTCTGGCTAAAAAAGTTTATATGTTATTGGCGATACAACATGATTTTTGATACACCCAGCCCCCACCCGCGGAAAAATCGTTTTCACTTCTCCTAGAAATATTTAATTTTACAATGTTATTCTTCTTTTTACCTAATTTTGATTAATTGAAAATTTGTCTCCTATTATCCCCTTTGGCTCTCTCTGGTTTGATCAGGAATGTGTCACCACTTGTCAGAAAAATAAACTGTGAGATTTTCTGAAAGGCACTGTTGCAATGTCATAAAGCTTATATATATTCCAATGTTATTTTTCTGCAGATTTTACATTGGAAAGAAATACACCTAGACCGAATAAGCTGAGATGGATCTCTTTCAACAACACCTATTCACTTATGGTGCAAGGAAACAATGTCAGCTTCGTGGTAAGTGAGTATAAGGCTTACAATTGTGAAACAATCATCCTTTTTAAAAATGGACCTTCCGATTATCCTTTACTGCAATAGATTTGATAAATTAGTTCCCGATAACTAAAACCTTTAAGGGGAATCGAGAGGAATGCAAGTATCAACCACACTCCACTTCAAGGGCAACGAGAAAAATATATTGATTAATCAGTACAGGGATAAACATTATATTTAAATTGGACTAAATAAAAAGTAAAGATAAAAAATACACGGTTGTTTTGAAATAAATTCAATGTTTTGAAATGCAGTTAAACTGTTTTTTTTTTTTTTTTTCGCCTAATGTCACGCGCTTAAAACTATGGTTGGAGTTATCGAGGGTAAAATAATTGTATAGAATGATCAGGGGGGAAACAAAAATTACTTCGAGGTAGCGGGAGGTTCGAGTTATCAGGAGTCGACTGTATTCTTGAATTACTTTTTGTAATTTTCTGGCTTATTGTAAGAGTCTATCGTAAAAAAATAAATGAACAAATAAATAAACAAAGAATAACAATAATAATTAACTTTTTATCTGTTGCTTTCACAGAATGTTTCCTGTGAAAAAGGAGGCGAAAACGTTTGGTTTAAATTTATGGAGCTGAAAAAAAAGTCAGGGGAAAAAAATAGATATCATGGGTTTTTTATACGAAATAGTACAATGTGTCTTACTAGCAGTTGTGATGGAACCTTGTCTGTAGTGAAAGTTAACTCAACAGATGACGGAAAATGCTCCTTTAAACAGAAAATTATTAGATGATAAGTTAATGCGACAGAACTGAATATGCAGGGGCGTAGCCAGCTTTTCGACTAGTATTTGTAGGCCTGGCTGACTTTCTTTTCCACATTTCCTGAAAACTGCACACATGACTAGTACGCACCAACACTTTGCGCTCTAAGCTTTTTAGCTCATCCCAACAACGCATAATTTATTACAAGCGGTAGAGTGATCAAACCAAACATTTTGTAGGCCCGGGCCTACAGGTCTATAGGCTGGCTACGCCACTGATGTGGTTTTATTTAATGTATGACATAATTTTTATCAATTTAAAGGTAATTTTCCTATTTCTAAAGTATTTTTTACTTGTAACGTTAATATTGTATCGCATTCTATACAAAGAAAGGAATAGGATTATTTAAGTTATGATGCTACCGTTATTATTTCTTACACTAGTCACTAACATTGGCAGTGTACATTACCAGTTAATACAATTATTGTCCGCCACGGTAATGAATATGCAATTAAAAATTAGAGAATCTTGACCGCTAGCAGTCTGTTTGCAGTTCCATGGAGCCGATCATATAATTATACCAATGCAGCCACCACGACGTGCTAACATGGAACAGTATCGAGTGATTGCCAAAGCTAATAATCAGTTAATCAAATGGAACGATACTGACTCCCGGGGAGGGGTGGGGGGGAACTGACTGCGTTACTTAGTACATAACTTCATGGGAATCGCTTAGCGAAGACTCCCAACCTCCTGAGGACGAGGTTGGAAGATTTCATGTTCGGAAAAAGGTGGTGATGCTGGCCGGAAAAAACTAAAATTAAACCCGAAGAAAGCCAGGCCTGGCGCGTTGCCAGCTGCATTGTTTAACCTTTAAATAATTCAAGTAGAAAATAGGACAACCATGTAACCAGTGTAGCCGTAAATTATATTGCAATAAAGAGCGCAGCTGTTATTAAATTATTTTCTCCCCTCTCTTCTTTTTTGCTTTCCTGTTTCTTGACATCCCTAAGTGATACTTGAGCAGCAAAACAGAATTTTGGCAGTCCATTCCCTATAATTAATACTTAATCCTGTTCTACACGTATGTGACGACGAATATCCGAGCCCTTTCATTCTGGAGCTAATCACTAAGGGACGGACCATTAGAAAACTTATGTGGGGAGGGGGGGGGGGGGGGGGGGA